CCCCAAAACCCCAAAACCCCATGAAATAAAATAAATTTATTTTTCCTAAATAGAATTAAAAGAAATTAACATTTAACAATAGATTATCATAATATTTAATGAAATCATTCATCTTAGTAGGATTCCTTTCTTTAAGAGAGATTTAGTATTCTTCTCTCTTATCCAGGCCATTCTTGGATCTGCCTTTCCTTCTGAGTAATCTTTAGCAATTTCTTCTGCTAATTTTATGTTATCATTAGTTTCAGCTAGTTTATATTGATAAAGAATGGGCATTACTGAGGGTTCAGCGAATTCAATTTCTCTAAGTTAATGTAAAGTACAATCAAATTCCTACTCCTTTATTTATTCCTTAAGTTATTTATATTCTGTTTCCAACATTTCTTTTTAGAAATTATCTTCTTCATGTTTGCAAACATGCATTAAAGAGAACAATTTTTTCCTACTCTCTGTCTGCTTCAACTCTTTAGGCAAACTACTTAAATTACCATCTATGCTATTGCGTTTCTGTCTATTAGAGTTCAAGAATTTATTAACTCTCACGTGATCTTATTTATTTTTAGATACCGGATATTATCGGAGAAGGGACTAAATTTCATAGTCTTTCAAGGAAGGTGTTTTTTCTTTGAACTTTTAATTTATTGTCTCATTTTTCAACTGTTTTTAATTTGCTGTAAGATTATTTATTAAAGATAATTTATCACTTCTAGATCTGTGATGGCGACTGAAGATTTAGGTAGCTTTCATATTATGATGACTGAGTAGATTTAGCAAATTATCTTTCTTGAAAGCTGCAGATTTATATAAAGTGTTTAAGGTACTATCCTTGTTTATAGATTCGTCCTTCTTAGTTCTGGTAATCTAGTTCATTGCATGAGTACTATTAAACTTGATTAATCTAGCCTTTTCGGCATTCTAGCCTAAGATATTTTTAATAGCATCGAGACTTTTATCGATTTGCTGAGGTGATTAATTTCTTAAATCAGTAGTTTGATTTAGATTTATCTTTCTTCTTCTGTTCTAAATAGTAGCTGTTCCTATTACTTATCTATTTGAAGATAAGAAATTAGTAGAGTGATTTCTATCTGTTTTCATCAATGAAATGAAAGTCTAATCATCTTTCGGAATAGCAATCTATGATTAATTCTTCTGATGATTTATGAATTGTCTGCTGTTTTAAGATGTACCTTAAAATGGTCATTAAACTACATCAAGATCTAGATTTTTATCATTGATATAGATATGATGGTTTGCTAGTTAAGAACTAAACAGACTTTTATTTATGCTGTTGAAGTTTCCAAAACTTGATGCATTTACCAGATTTTATGAAGTATCATTATTTATGTTCGTTGAACTTGTTTGATTTACTCCTTCAAAATTATCTATAGTCTCTCTTTTACCATTTTAGGACTTTAAGTTTTTCAATGATGCTCTTTTACTTAAAACTTTTTCCTTGACTGGGGATTCCTTTTTAATTATCTTCATTTTCTCCATCCAGAAGGCTAACTTTTCTTTACCGCTCATTTCATTTTGAGATTTGAGCTAACTTGAATTCAACTCTATTCTATCTGCATCATCATTATTACCAAACATTATAGCCCTCTTTTTAGCTTCTATCATTTCTAATTTCTCTTATTACTCTTTTTACAATCGTACAAATTTAGTGTGAAATGCTTCGCTTTTAAATTGATTAAAGTCTTAGTCTTAAAGTATTTCAATCCTTTTCTTTTTATAATTATAGAAATAATTTTTGGCAAGACAGTTCTTTTATATTCGATAATCATAGGCCAGCTTCTAATTCTTTCCAATTTTGATTTGGTATTCACTAAGAATTTTCTTTAAATTTTCTTCCTCAGATGCATGTTCTTCAAGTAATTTCCTCTGTTTCTTAAACATTGCAGATAGTTAATTTTTCTAGCATTGAATTTCTTCTTGAGCAAAAGCATGTAGATTCTTTTTAAACGACGTTTAATAATTTTAGGGTCTACTTCTAAAATGGTGTTCCATGATCTAAAAATTATCATTCATTTCATGCTTTTGCTTTTAGTAAATACTGTCAATAATAGAGAGATTCTGTTTAAATTTAGCTGACTTTGAGTTGGAAATCTTGTTCATCTTGGTATTTTTAAAAAAGTCTTCTCTAGAGTCTACACTTGAACTATATTAATCTTCCATTTGTTATACAATTTTATTTAGATTTTTAGTTATAAAAAAACATTAATCGATCAAACTATCATAATGATAGCTAGCGGGGTTTTGGGGTTTTGGGGTTTTGGGG